CTAATGATGTATTGTATGGTGACTAACATAACATAATAAAATTAAAAAAAAAAAAAGATGGAGGATTTCCTCCCTCCCCCACCCCCCACAGGTTACACAGCTGATAAACATAACACTAACTTAAATGTCTGACTTCAAAATCCACACAAGTCAAAAATTTAGAAACGAAGGCAGATCCCTGAAGCAATTTATCAATAATCACACAGATTACTGCCAGGTTCTGCATGCCCATCTCTAAATTCTAAATTTCCCACCTACTGAATTGCCTCTTCCCCTCTTGCAACATCTTTCTTAACTAGTTCCTATTTTATTACACTTTTAGTGAGTGATTAGAAAGTCAATACCTATTTCATGAAAATACTTGCAAAATGGAAAGAGGATTAACCCACAATTCAGCCAAGCAGAGGCAATGTCGTTCATTTTAACAGTCCAGATGAGTAAATTTTCATGTTTATAACATCATATCTGCTATAGAGATTATCAGTGGTAACATTTCTTTTCATGCAGAAAGCAGATACCAGTGTTCTTGCTATTTTTTAAATTATCAAACAGCAATCAATCACGTCCACTGAAATGTTGATCTAACAATCATTGCTGGTTAATACTGACTGATTAATTTAAAAGTTTCAAAGGAGATGTATACAATTTGCCCAAGGTGACTTCAAAATAATGCCCAATCCAGTTAATGTTTACATCCCTAAGGTGCTCACCTCCACTAAAAACCAGCCTTGCACATCAGCCCCACAGGAAAGGATAGCTCATGCCAGAGTTAAGGGTGGGCTCCAAGATAAAGAGCAACCCAGCCGGAAAGCCGAGGTTCAAACACATCTGGTTTCCATTAACTGGGTTTGCAACAGCCTCTTCAAAGGCAAAGAACATTCCTCCCTCCAACCTAAAAATTCCTGCTTTCTCCAAGATGGCAGATCCAGGAAAAAGTCCTGAATCGGAGAATTGAGCTCTCAAAGAATTACACTTTTATGCTGATTTTAGATGTTTTATTTTGTGATGCAATTGATACATGCTTATCATGAACAAAAAGCAGAAAAACACCATTCATCACAACATGAATTAACTGATATCACTATTGTTTTTGAAAATATGTAACAAAATGAAGTCATGCTAATTGTTTTCACATATCCTATATTGTCACGATCCTTTCTAACATTTTAAAGGTTTCCAACTGAGAATAGGTATGTTAAGGTCATCAATCAATCCTTTTTGACATTTGTACATTTAGATTGCTTCCAATTTTTCCCCATTATAAATGCTTCAGTAATGAGCATCTTCTCCTTCAACTCATTCTACAAAGATGCCTGGCAGATAGTACCTAAATTTTTGCTCATATTCTTAATTACTCCCTTAAGATAAATTTCCCAGAAGTGGAACTGTTGGTCAAAACACACTTTTCAGAATTTGGAGTTGCCAATTGCTCCCCCTCCCCCCCGAGAGATTGTATCAACAGATACTTCCATCAGCACCACCTGAGATTATCTCCCTCAGCTGGACTTCGCCAAGGAGGGCAAGCAGGTGCAGCTGCTTTAGAGCAGTGCTGCTCAAAGTGGTCTTTGGACCAGCATCATCAGCATTACGTAGAAATGCAGATTCTTGGGTTCTGCCTCTGAGATCTACTCAATCAACATCTCTGGTAGGCGGGACCCAGTAATCTGGATTTTAATAAGCTCTCCACATGATTCTCTAGCTCATTAAAGTTTGAGAATCATTGCCCTCAAGCACAGGAAACAGATCTATGAGTGCCACCAAGAAACACACAACCTCCCGACTACCCTCACTGCTTTGTTCTTTCTCAATAACCTTCCCGAAACTGACTGATAGCTAATTCTTCAACAGACGCCCCAGATCGTAATAAACTCAGCTTTTCAGCTAGTTTGGCAAGACAGTGAACTTCAAAACTGAAGTGGACAAAATAGAGAGGCAAGTAGAAGGGAGAGAGGGATAGGGTCTTCCACATGGGGATGGAGATGAAGGGCCACAGGGTTTCTTTGAGAAGGGTGGCATGTGGAGCCTGGATGTTACTTGGACGACCAGCTTTCGAGGTCTGCCTCATCTCACTTGTAACTCTATAACCTTGGACAACTACTTAATACTATTGATCCTCAGTTCCCTCTTTTGTTTATTAGGAATAAACATCCCATGTTGCAGGTTGTTGTGAGGTTCATGAATGATAAGCAATGTGAAATGCTTTGGAAACTGTAAAGCCCTGTCCACGTTAGGGGGTAACATTATTATCACAGACCTGGCTGTAGGCAAAGGTTGCCCTTCCTGTGCTTTCCCTCCTCCCCATTCTGACCATGAAATTCACTTCTTCCCCCAAACCTTCAAAGGCCCCACTTATCAGTCATCAACATACAAAGCAAACTGCCTCCTTGGCCTCCTTTTAAGAGGTATCACTTACACTTCCCACTTGGAATATTATCTTCCTTATCTCAAGACTGCAGAAATGCATGGCCCACCACCTCTCTAAGTTGGATGGAAAATCACTTAGATGGAGCACCCCAGTTGCAGGGAAGGAAAGAGACAGTGAAAGTTCAAAACACTGTTGGGGAAGACAGCATGACATTTGGGGCTCAGAGCAGGAGCTCAAATCTTGACCCTATCATTAGGAAGAAGAAGGCGTCTTTGGGCACTACAAGAATAACATGACCAAAGGAGAACTCTAGATTTCCCTTTGAAAACCTGTTTTCACACAGATTTTCCCATCTTAGGAGAGAGTGGCATGTTTTCTCATACCAGAAATCTGAATTATCCTTGATTCCTTTCTTTCCCTCGCCTTCCAAGTCTAACTAGTCATGATGAACTATTAACCATAAGCAACTTGCTCAACCTCTCTGAACATCAGTTGACTCCTCTGAAAAACAAGGTATAAAAACATATCTCATTCCAGGCTGTTCAAGAATTAATTTAGACAGCCTTCTAATCCTTGACCATCCACCCTGCAGAAAGCACCAACAATCACTATACAGTGTGAAGTGACACCTCTGAGAGCCATTGCATAAATATTCATGGGACTCAGGCTATATTTCAGGCACTATATAAGGGACATAGCATTGAAAAGGACAGGAAGGATTCCTGTTCTCCTGGAGTTTATAATCCAGAGGGTGGAAAGCTAGAGGGAGAAACAGACAAAAGAAACAAGAAGAATTTCAGATCAGAATAGATGTTGTCCAAAGAGAGACTTAAGATAATTTGGTAGAGAGTAGATATGTGGCTACCTAAAATGGGTGGTCGGGGCTGGCCTCTCTGAAGAGGTCACATGTAGGCTGAGGTTTGAATGACAAGGAGAAACCAGCCATGTAAACAGGACGAAGAGACAAGTCACTCCAGACCAAGGGAATAGCCAGTGCAAATGCCTTTCAGCTTGAGTGAACTTGGAAAGTCCAAGGAATATCAAGCAGGTTAGCATGGCTGGAACATGGAGAACACACGGAGAGAGGTAATGAATAGAGTCACAGGAGTGGTACAATCAGATCACAAGGGGTTTTGCAAACCAAGGAAAGAAGTTTGAATTTGTCTGTTTATTTCTTTGTTTAAATGACAAGAAAGCCAGCAAAGAGTCTTAAGTGGAAGAGTGATTTGGTCTTATTTTCCTTTTTAAAAGATCACCCTGAGTGCTTCCTGGGGAATGGTTTGCAAGAAGACACAAGTGGAAGAGAACCAGTAGGGACAGTATTTGCGATGGTTCAGATAAGAGAAGACGGTGGCTTGGACTGGGGTAAAGACCAGGTTGCTGGAAGAAATGGACAATTCTGGATGCATTCTGAATATAAAGTCTAGAGGACTTGGTGACCAATTAGGCCTGAAAAGTAGACAAAAGAAAAAAAAAGTCAAAAAGATCAAGGATAACTCAGTTTCTGGTGTACAACACTATGAAGCTACTTACTGGGATAGCAAAACCCAGGGAAAGCAGGTTTGTAGTGAGAAATAAAGAGTTCTGCTTTAGTCACATTATTCTTGTGATGCCTGCAGCATGCATGTAGAGATATCAAGTTGGCATTTAGATATGTCTTGAGTTGCAAGGTGTGTTGAGGGCTGGAGGTAAACATTCAGGAGTAATCGGAATCCCAGATTCCACTCAAGGACCTACTTTTTAAATGTGTTACACACTGATATGCTCTAGACTCTTGGCTATACCTTAGAAAAATACAGGTGGAAGACGTAGCTTCTGCCCTCAAGGTACTCTGCCATGAGGAAAAGAGACAGATACACAGAAAAGTATATCATACCATTTGTCAGTACTAGGATTGATGGAAGTGTTTATGGGGTGCTAACCTGTGTGACCTTCAACCATGGCCTTGGGCTCTTCTGGTCCTCAGTTCTATCACTCACAAACCAAGATAGTACCACCTGTCTTGCTAACAGGGCAATAGGCACATTTCAAAGGAAATGATGTAGATGGAAGTGAATGAAAGACACAGAGCCTTGCATTATTATCCCACTGCAAAGAGGGAGAAAGCTGGCATGAAGGGTGTATTCAAAGACTTACCAGCAAAACACAGGGCTAAGTTCTGGCTGATAGGACTTAAAGGAGCCTGTCTATCTAATCACTGCAGCAGGAAATGTAATTCTTCACAAAGCCAATGTTGCTGTGAGGGAATTTGCATGAGGTCTGAGATAGGATAGAAAAGTTTCGCTGCTGCTGCTGCAGCTGAGTGATAGCTCCTAAAAAACAAGCACACCGTACTTGGTGGCTATTTGTTTTATACCAGCTCACCCTTGACCCTTAGCAAAAGTTTAACCTTTAAACTTTCCACCAATGACATCACGTTGTCCAATTGTGAGAGCAATGAGCCATGGAGGGGACATGCCTGGTTCAAACTTTGACACTATCTCCTACTAACTGTGGCATGTGACTCAGTCCCTTAGCCTCAGTTTCTGGAATTATAATGGGATTGTGATAACAATCTCCCAGGTAACTTTAAGGATTTATCAAGACAATGAAAACGTTGTGGAATCATGGCGGCAACTGAGAGTGGATCCAGCAGGACAGGAAAGAGGAAGAAGAAGAAGTAGAGCAGTTGGTTCTGATGGAATTGTCCAGAGTTTTTGAGTCAGACTTTCCATCAAAATGTGAAAATAAATGCAAGATTTGGGGACTTGACACTGAGAGGCCCATTCCTTTTTTTTTTATTCCATCCATTTCCTTATATTCTTTTTTTTATGTTCTGTTAATCACCATACATTACATCATTAGTTTTTGATGTAGTGTTCCATGATTCATTGTTTGCATATAACACCCAGTGCTCCATGC